TATAATGTATATTTATCAATAAAAAATATTTCAGCTATGAAGAAAGAGCGAGATCTATTGATACTGTTATGCGGAATCACAAAGAAGCTACTACATTTGAAGAATTTACAGCTAATGTATATTCTCCAGTACAGCCACCAAGTCCATTCAGTGGAGCTTCTTCTATATCTGGTTAGTCTTTATGTTTTAAAAATTTTTTTTAAAAATATACATTTATATATATATAAAAAATTTTTAATTAGAAAAAATGGTTGTAATTAAATTCCATTAATAATTTTTATTTTTATGAAATGTTAAAGTTTTTTTGTTCTATAGAAGCTATAAATAAGTTATAATTAAAAATTTTATTCTTTTTAATAGTTTTTGCATGAATTTAGATACCAGTTATTATTATTATTATCAATATCACACTGTCAGGATCTACAACAAGCGTGCAATCCACAGCATCGTCAAATCTCGCAGCAGCGCTTATAGATTCACATCAGGGTCGATCTGGCCTGCGAAGTTCTTCAGCAGCAAGCAGTGATAATCGCGCGAATAGAGGTGACTAATTCAGTCCACTAACCCCCACCCACCTTGTAACACCACCCAACAAGGTAGTATTATAATTTATTTATTTTTTTCTTTGCTATTTCTCCAATATTTGTCGTTTCTATAAAGTATATTCTGTTTATTTTTTTTCTTTTATAGTTACCTTGTAGTAATTTTATGTTATAATATGTTAACAACCATACAAACTTATACACAATTTTTAAGTTTCATTCAATGAACTCCAATATATCTTACTTAATAAAATAACAATAACTTTATATTTTTATATTCCATAATGATATTATACATTTTGTAATTTATTAAAATGTTGATTTATATCTTATTAATATTACAGTGTATATATAATATATACATATACATATTTCTTTTTAAGAAAAATAACAAATGAAAAATTGTTATGAAAAACAAATGAAAAATTAAAATAATTTTCTTTTAAAAAAATTAACTGAGGATAAATATATTCCAATTATTCTTTATTTAATATCCATATGTTTTTTAATACTATTTTTGTTTAACAGTCTTACACAATTTATTCAGAGGTAAAATTTCCTTTTTAAATACATATTAGACATAGATCAAAATATACTTTATTATATTCATATTATATGTGTTATTTTAATGATGCTTTATAGATTGAATTGTACAATGCATGCATATATTCTTAAAAGTTTATTATAAAAGAATTTTTCTTTAAATTTTTGTATATTAATATTTTGAAAATTAATAAATGAATTTATAAAAATGAAAAAAATATCTACGAATTAATTAATTTTTTAATATAATATGTGTATGGCATTGTGCATTGCAAATAGTTTTTGCTACTTATAATTATAAATAAGTGTGCTCATTTATAAATATAAAATTTCTTATACATTTATAAATTCAAATTTCTATCATATCATAAAAATTAAATGTTAATTTATTTTATTTCAATTTTATATAAAAATTAATGCAAACAATCCAATACTTTTCTAAAATTTTTCTAGCTTCTTCAATTACAAAATTTTATTTATATGCAAAGAAAGTAGCATAGACTAATTTTTTAAATTATATATTATTTATAATTATATATTATTTTTTTAGCAAGTTGCACGTTAATTTTTTATTCCAATATGATAATATATTTATATAACAAACTTATAATTATAATACAATATAATTATCTTCTATATGATTTCTAACTATAAATATTTAACTTCAATTACAACAAGTTTATTGATTTTATTTCCAGTTTCTGATGGAAGCAGAGTATGGTTTAGTAATGATACCCCTGATAGTACAGCATTTCATGGAATATCTCCCAGACCTGTGAAAAAGATGTCATTTAAAACTGGACCGAAACAGAGAGCGAATACTCAACCCACGCCTCCCGATAGTCCAAGATATAAATAAGGAGTTTTGTATCAGTATCATAAAAAAAGAACATTTTTTGCACAAGTGGTTGTTTGGGCATATCCTAGTTATTGTAATTTAAGAATTCTTTAGAATGCTATAATATGTTACAATAACAAAAAATGCTAAACCACCGTTTTTATGCATTGAAAAATAGCATATGCATAAGGAAAATAATGGCAGATTTAAATATTTCACTATTTTAAAATGACAAAAGAATTCAATGGGCGTCGAACATCCGATTAGTCTTAGCGTTTTCTGTTTTCCGTCCTTAGGTTTAATTTTTATATTAAATGTACAGATCGTTGTTTATTTGTTGCAACGGGAATATTAATTTATTGGAACATAAATATATGAAAAGATTTAATGGATTGTAGGTAATACAATAGCAAAATATTTGTTATATATTTTAATTAGTGTCACATGACAACTATTTTCATTGTACAGTACTTTCGTAAGATTAGTTTACTCTTGAATAAGTAAGCTTATATAATTAATATTGATTAAAGCTTCTATCTTAATTTATATCGAAGATAACGAATGTCCTCGATGTAACACGATCCTCGATGTTTTATATATATATGCCTTGATATAAAAAGTTATTTTATTTCTTGTAATGTAGTAAAATGAAAAAAATGAACATGATTACCATATTATCGTAAAATACGTCTATATGAATGTTGAATAAGAATCAAATGTTATTTTTTAATAACAAAGTTTTATGAATTACATAATACGAATATCACATCTCTTAGATACTCAATAAGTTATTTCATCTGAATGTTGATAAAATTTTGAATTGACATCTCTTGAATTTTAGTGATGATAATTAACTGCAATCTTTTAAAAAAAATCTATTAATGTATTACATTCCATACAAATGATTTTTTCTATATATTTTCTCTGTAATTTCAGTTAAATTTTGATTATATCAATATGGATAATTGAAACATTCCATATACATTTTATATAATATATAATTTAATAATTCTTCTTGAAATAAAATAAAAATACAAGACAATTATTTTAGTTCGTGTATATTGTATAAAAAAAAAATTAAAATAGAAGATTAATTAATAGAAGAAATCAATTAGGGAACAGTTTTTGTTGTTAAGTACACATATTTGGTGCTTTATAATATTTGTAAAATAGAAATATTTTAAATACTGTGTCAAAACATATTATTCTGAATAATAAAATTATAAAGATATAAAAACAAAAAAAAAAAAAATGAAATGAAATCGAAAAGAATTTTGAAAGTAAACAAAGTAATTTAAAAACGAATATGAGTATTGAATATCAATAAATTTATTTGCTTCAGAAAAGATTTATCTTGAACACAGTGATAATAATCAAAGTATTAATACCAGTCGTCGCTGTCGATAAGTAAACGAAATTTTAGAGAAAAGATTATATTATATTGTGGTGAATATATTGAATACCATATTCAGATGTTGAGATTGTAATAAATATACATTTCAAATTTTTTGACCATTTTGAGGATTATCCGATAAACCGCATTCGAATGTAGGTATTTAGCAACGAAGTTATAGGTAAATAATAATTACCAATATGCAGACCATGGCCAAAGCAGCATTATTTTTTCACTAATTTATAACAAAGTAGATCGAGAAGAAAAGCCGTGTGTATATGTATTGTACATAAATTGTTAAGTACATAAATGACGTTGAAGTCATTGAATGGAAATTATCCTCTGCGAAACATGGTATTGCTATGTTATTGAACAAAAAAAAATTGATTTATATATATATATAAATATAGAAAAGAGAAAAAAAACTTATTACAATCTTGCGTAAGAATGCTTTTACAAATCGTATTTAAACACATTGTATTTAATTATCTATCTTTATTAGTGTCATTATAACAATGACTCACTATTATTTATATTATAAATATACAAATTACTGTTAACATTATTAGCGCAACACTAAACTATTTTTCTTACTGGATAATTATGCTACATTTTTAAAATTAAATTTATCAATTATAAGCTATAAGAAAGAAAGAAGTTTTGAAGAAATATTTCTGTAATAATTAATACTATAAAGCTTATTCTGTTGAAGTAACTGAAATTAGAATTTATATTACTAAAATTAATTTGTTCTATCTATAAGTTTGTTATTTGTTAATTTTTTTTTTACAAATTGACATAATCAAATCATCTATATATAAAAAAATTATTAAAATTATTTAAAAATATTATTCATGCAAAATAATCTAAATCATACAAATCTTTATCTCTATACTTAAATGTCATTTTGTTTTTTGACGATTTAAAATGGAGACATGTACAAAAGGTACGAATTTGATTTGTTATTTATATATCAATATAAAGCAGAGTTAATATATACTATATACATATATAGTAATTATTTCATATGATTTGAAGGAATATTATACGTTACTCTCTAATTCAATTTTTTTGTCAAATATAGAATTGCGTAGATATTTTCTTGTTTATTAAAAAATAAAAACAAAATTGAAATTGTTTTAAATCATTAGTCTAATGGGAACATCATTGAAATTTATGATAATTAATCAATTTTGTAGTGCCATTTTGCGGCTCCTAAAATAATGAATAGAATTTCTGAAAATTTTAATAAAATTCTATACAATCTATATTACAGAATTCGAATTCATTAAGAACATTTATAAAATTTAGTAGTAATATATAATATAGTAATTAAATAGAAAAAAATTAAATTATATGTTATGTAATTTTTTTGTAGAAACTAATATTCGGAATTGACTTAATATATGATTCTTCTGTAAATTCGTTATCCAAAGATCTAACATCGTACTGATTGTACACATTTCTGCGATGGAATGTACATTTTATTGCACAATAAAATTATGATGATCAATTTCAAAAAACTTTACATAAATTTGCATAATTTTAAATAAAAAATGATATAAAAAATTTAATTTTAATTATTTGAAACTGAAATTAGTAAATTTAAATTCGAAACAACGCTCTTTGTAGTTCTTCATACTCAACGATAGAGGTAGATTAGTAATCATTTCATAAAATGGCTGCCATCAGGTATACAGTTTATTTGTAAAGTCTCAAATTGACAAAAGCATTCATTTTTAAATAATCAAAAATATCTTACGTTGTGCTTTTTATAAAAACGTTCCATAAATAATCTTCGATGCATAAAAATTAATTATTTTTATATCGTGGTTTTTCGAATGTAATCGTACGCTATTGTGTGATCTCACCAAACAGAGCGCGGAAGTACAAAAAAGCGTACGTCAAACTGTCAAAGAATCCTTATGTCAATTTGTTTATAGCTATAAGCGTTGATGAATGTCTGAGAGTGATACTTACGATTCGGCGGACGAATATACAAGCCTAATGGACGGTCACGTCGCGGAATCTCGCACGGACGATTTGGGCTTGGTCACTGGTCGAAAAAGGCGTTCGCGTATTAGTAACGAAGAGGTACTTTACAATATTCTATAATCAAATATTAATATATTAATATTAATATTTATATATATATAATTTAAAATAATTCGAAAAATTTTTTATATTAATAACGTATAAATTATAGATTGAAAATGGAATTCCTGAGGTCCATATTCAAACACCAGGTATATCAAATAATGCAAGTTCAGGTAGAAGAGGTACATTAAGTAGTAGTGTCCAGGGTAGATCAAGAAATTATAGAGATGAAGAAGAAGAAGAATTAAAATATGGAGCAGCACATGTTATTAAATTATTTGTGCCTGTATCTCTTTGTATGTTAGTTGTAGTTGCCACAATTAGTTCTATAAATTTTTACACAACCAAAGGAATGTATTTGTAAGTACTTTAAAATATTTTATGTTCTATAGAATTATAATTTCTTATTGAAATAGAGTAATATTTGTTAAACATAAATATTTTCAGAGTATACACTCCATTTCATGAAGACAGTGCTGACACAAGTACAAAGGCTTGGCAAGCAGTTGCCAACTCTTTAATACTAATGAGTGTCATTGTATTTATGACTGTGATACTTATTGTTCTATATAAATATAAATTTTATAAAGTAATCCATGGATGGTTGATAATAAGTTCCTTATTGTTGTTATCTATGTTTTCTATGTTATATTGCGAGTAAGTATTATAACTTTGTAAATTATTTTTTATATTTTTTAAATTTATAAAATATCTTTTGCAGACAAGTATTAAAAGCATATAACATTCCAATGGATTTGTATACATTAGGTTTAGTTTTGTGGAATTTTGGAGTAGTTGGAATGATATGTATACATTGGCAAGGTCCTCTACAATTACAACAAGCATATCTTATTTTTATCTCTGCTCTAATGGCGCTTGTTTTTATTAAATATTTACCAGAATGGACAGCATGGGTTGTACTTGGTGTTATTAGTATTTGGGGTAAATAGATTTGTTTCTAAGAAAGTATAAACAAATAAAATAATGTTATAAATAAAATATAAGTTTTTATAATTTTTTATTCAGATTTAATTGCTGTGTTAACACCAAAAGGACCTTTAAGAATACTTGTAGAGACTGCACAAGAGCGAAATGAATCTATTTTTCCTGCATTAATTTATTCTTCGACAATTATGTACACAGCTACAATGACTTATGCTGGTTATGTACAAACAGCAACAATGACTACTAATGATACTGCTGCTAGTGATAACACAACATATACTATGAATAATCAAGCAAATAATCAAAATAATTCTACATCTGGAGATGCAGAAGAGGGCGGATTTACACCTGAATGGATAGATACACATGGTAATAAATAAAATTTTGTTTTTTTATATTCAATTTTTTAATAATTTGATTTTATGTAATATTTTATTATCAGGTGATCGAGGAGCAAGACGAGCACAAGAAGTACGTGAAAATACCTTGTCTTTAACAGAAAGATCAAGACAAGATAATCGTGTTGCACGTGAATCACAAGGACAACAAGTCCCAATTACTGAGGAGGAACGAGGAGTGAAATTAGGTCTTGGTGATTTTATATTTTACAGCGTTTTAGTTGGGAAAGCTTCCAGTTATGGCGATTGGAACACTACATTAGCTTGTTTCGTTGCTATTCTTATTGTACGTATTTCATTATTTATATCTTATGTTAAAATAATAAAAATTTTATTATTATAATTTATTATTTTCAGGGACTTTGTTTAACATTATTATTGCTGGCTATTTTTAAGAAAGCATTGCCAGCATTACCGATCTCTGTTACATTTGGTTTAACATTTTATTTTGCCACGAGAGTAATTGTTGCACCATTTGCAGATAAATTAGCGAGCGAGCAAGTGTTCATTTAACTGTAGGTATATATACATATAATAAGCATTATATTCATAATTTATTACAAAAGGATAGTGCCTATTCATATATTGATCATCTAGCTTTTATATTTCGTTTAAATTCGTCGTTTGTAATTTGTCATTTATAAACTTATATCATGGATCATCATATGACATGGTACAAATCAAGATGAAAATGTGCATTATAAAAACTGGATGATCCAGTATTTTTTAATGATAAGTTTCATTATTGAACAATTACATGGAATAGAAATCTAGTATGTCACAAAAAATGCTCAAAATAAATTTACATTTGTAAGATGAAGAACAAAGATAATAAATGATAATTGTATTTATCTGATATCTATTGCATGTTAAATGTAGAACAATATTTAAAATCCTTGACAATTTTTAATTTTTTATCAATATTTAGGTTTTTTACTATTTATTATAGGTTACAAGAATATTAATCGAACATAATTAAATTAGTCGAGCTATAACAATTTATTATGTGTTTTTACATTTAGAGAACATAGATCGAGTATAAAAAAAAGCGATTTATAATTATTTTTTTTTTTCGGAAATTGTATGAAAGATGAGGTATAATGTTTGTCTAAATAATTTGCTAAATGTATAGACCGGCTATGAATTACTAGTACCACTAGCCGTTCAGGACAATTCCTCGGGGTTTGAAATCCGTTTATACACAGCCATGAAATACGTGTCATTCATTATCAATCACAAATTTGATTATTCATTTCAATGACAATACGTATTGCTATAAATTTCATCCAATACTAAACAACAAGGATTTAAGTATAAGCTTTGTTAATAACATTCTTGTTACTCAGAAAATTCAAGGCAAAATGATCTGATCGTATAATGGAAAAATGCGATTGTTTTTTTTGTTTTTTTGTTTTTTTGTTTTTTACTATAATAAGAGAATTCTCGAATTTGAAAAGCATATATCTTTTTTTTTTTATCAAGAAGCAGTTTCATAAATAGAGTGGAAACATTTTGCCGAGAATAATCAATAATATCAAAGTTAGCATTTACTAACAATTCTTTCATTGCCATAAGCATTACATAACGATTCCAAGTCAACTTTAACATTGCTGTTTTTTTTTCTTCTTTACAAACTTCGCCGCGAAATGCAGTATATATGTATATACAATATATATATATATATATTATATATAAATCCCCGAAACCGCGCGCACGCACACGCGGAAGATTTTTAACAGCGATATGATATTATTTGCACTTCGTAAAATTATGATAATTCATAAGTTTATAACTACATACTAGGAGGAAGTTCATTTTACTTTTTTCTTTTATTCCTTCTAATATCCAGTCAGTTTTCAATCACGACGTGTAAAAGACGCTTTTCGACAAAAAAATAAACGCGATCATTTGTGAAATCTAATTATTATCACGAGCATAAACGCTCGATCATGGTCATTGTGATTGTGCGCACAACAAATTATCCCTATATCGTGCGTATTTTGTAACAATACTGATCTAACTTTATATTTATTAGCAATAGACGCGAATTTCAATGAAATTAACAATTCGCTAGAGAAACAAAAAAGGTACACTTGGAAAATTGTAAAATTCTAACGGGAGAAAAACATTAGGAAAATATTTGCAACTCGTAACAAGTAATCATACATAATTTTAGCAATATCACTTTAATAAGCAATATCTTTCTTATTATCTTTCTAATAGAATCTAATAATTTGAAGATTCGCTAATTCCTTATTTAAATATAAGTTGCAAAATATTTTTTTCTATTCTCTAAAGATAAGAATAAAACAAATATCAAATATATGATATATATCAGTCTTATAAACAATAAACTTTTGGAGACATATTTTGGTAAATATATAGTAATAACTGTAAAAAGTGGTAATTATATTTTGCTAATATTTTCCCCACTTTAGCTTTTTTCCAGTTCATTGATATAAAAAATACATAACAAATTATAAATATTTCCTATGCGTCCACTTGAATTTGTTCATTCTTCTCCGAGAGAATCATGTGTGCTTTTTTCTTAATTGTTTAACTTGTTCCATATTTGCTGCTTTCGAACGTTCCACGTCTGAAGAACGAACTAAATTCTAGCAGTGATTGCTTATCTATGTTGCTTAAGTTGCCGTTGTACTTGTAAAGAGATTCACAGTGCGGCAATTCTGAGCAGACTTGAATCAGTCGTCGTAAATATTCTTCTAATCGTTTTCTACGTTGCCGTGCCACAACTTCATATCTTGGGAAAACTTGACGAGGTGGAAAGCGTATTGCCGCTACCTTTATAATTAATTAAAGCGTGTAAAATCTCTAAAGGATTGATTAAACTATATACTATCAAATCTTTTTCTTTTTGATTTATGAAATATAATTTAATAAATAGAATGTTATAAAAAATCTTACCTTGCTACCATATTTCTGTCGCATAGAAATATATAACTCTCGAAATCTTCTGTATCTACGTAAAAGCGTCCAGCTATCATCCTGAGCCACAACACGTACTTCATATTCGTAATGACTGGATGTGCCGGCTCCGCGTATTACATAAGAAGGTATACTAACGATTACGTTAATAACACTGTCGTAGTCGGCATCATTTGCTATCAAAGATGGTAGAGACCTCGTGATTGTTAAGGAATATGGACTACTCAAACGATCACCTCGATTTTGACTCTAAAAAAAAGATAATATATTTATACATGTATAACAAGCTAAAAATTGATTTCAAACTTCTAAGAATACTTCGAAACCAATTACTGTTAAATATACTGTTGAATATCCTCTTCCTGATGATATTCGAGGTGCAACTGATTCCGACAAATTCTCCTCATTAGTATTAGGCCTGTGATTCCTGAGAATTGGAGATCGCGTTGTAGCCAAGGTTAATAACGTAGCCGAATTAGTCGTGGACTCAATATCACCGCACGTTATAGTTTCTACACTTTGTGTACGATCATTTATATCACTAGCTAACAATCTATCATTGCACTGTGACTTAGATTGTTGCTTGAGATTCTTTCGTTCATCTTCTAATAATGAAACTTCTAATTCAATTTGTTGCTTTTGAAGATCTTGTAAGATTGCAATTTGTCTGTTTAAATCTTCTTTAGAAGGCGTATTGGCTTCTAGACACCTCATCACCATCATTCGTTGACGAGCGATTCTTTGGTTCAATCGTTTCATTGCTGGATTTTGTTGCACTGGCGAGTCCAACGAATCTTCAGGAATATCTTCCTCCGTAATAGAATTTGTTGGAGATTTTGATTCCGTTTTTTCACTAACAGTGCCGTTACATTGTTCTGATTTAATTGTATCTATTGAAGATTTTCTATTCAAATTTACCAAACTTCTGCTTTCTGCTTCACATATTTTAGCCCTATTATTCTCCAAGTGAACTTCTGGCGAAACTTTTTCTAATTCCTTTTGCCTCTCATTTGATGATTCCTGTGATTCTTTTATTTCTGAATCTTCGAATTCAGGAATTCGAAGTTCAGGAGAATCAGCTGCAGCTGTATGAAAAGTATCTGCTGTATCTATGGAACTTGGAATATCTTGTGGCAGTAAACTCAAAGCAGAAGCTATTTGAAGTTTTCTATTGCACGTATTGTCGAATATCTGAGTATCTCCATTTTGATGAATTTCATCACCACTCAAAGAACAATCATTTGAAAAAGCAGGTAATGCACGCTTTAAATTTAACGAGAGACTTTGTTTTCTTCTTAAGATCTCTTGCAATTGTTCCTGACTTCGTTTCGCGAGCAATAATTTTTTTTCTGTACTTCCTTCTCCCTCTAACTAACGATAAAAATATTCAATATTTAATGATAAGAAAAAAAAAATTAATGACTATTGTTATTAATTTTTACCTCTAAATTAAGCATATATTTTTGTTTTTTAGCTATCTCAATTAACTCCTCTTCCATTTTATCCACTTTGCATTGATGTTCATTAAGGGACTTTACCTTATTTTGCAGTTCAGTTTCCAAAACAGCTAATTCTTTTTTCTAGAAGATAGATTTTTAGATATGAATTTAATTTTTAAATATGATGTAAATTTTATTGATTTTAGAAAATAGGCAATTATTTTTTTTAAATCTTTTTATAAAAAAGATTTCTTTTTATTAAATTCAATTGGTTTTATTCGCAATTATAATTTACAGATTCATGAAAAAATTTTACTTAAGAAAGAAGTATGCTTAACTTCTGGAATCAACTCATATATTAAAATTATAATTAGATTTGAAAATAGATATAGTTTAAGATTCACTTACATGATGATTAACAAGCTCTCTCACCGCGTCAACACATTTATCATCGTTCAAGCTTGACCAAGATTCTGGCAAACTGCCGTCACTGCCAGCACCGTCATCCGTCTGAAATGGTACATTTTTCTTTCTGAACTGAAAAACTGCGAATCTTTGTTTTTATGTTACTTCATTACAATACTTTCCACACAATTGAAATAAAAGAACTGAAGAAACAAATAAATTACGGGTAATTAATAAAACAAAAAAAAAAAATAAAAGATAAGTCAAGATGCAGAATTATATTGCATGCAATTACTTTCTTCTCTATTTCCCTTGTTTCTTTCAGTAGTTCGTGCCATCAAACTACGGACTACACGTGCCACATATTATGCCGAATTTTCCTTTTTGTCTAGAGACTCTTACCTTCTCCCACCATTGATGAAATCTTTGTGCACGTTCGTGATTGCTCATGAATTCTTGAAACTGACGATGCTTGGACTGCAATGTTGTGCGCAGAGAGGCAACTTCCCTACATAAATTTTCTACCTAGTACCACACACACACAGATATCGATGCATTAACAAAAAAGATAACTGAAAACAATATAGTTTAGACGTTTTCCTTTCTTTTTTTTTCTTTTTTTTTTATTTTATTTTATTATTATTATTATTATTTTTTTTTTTTGATGAAAGATGAATTCTAAATAATAACAATGAAAAACAAAAGATTTTACAAATCATCATGTATATAGATATTTAATTATGAGATGTAAGAGACAAATAATGTTCAATAAATAAAAATAAAAATAAAAGCATGCTACTTTTTATGCATAATAGGGACTACATAATATTAGTTTATATTATATATAGAATTATTAACAAATTCAATTAAATATAAAATTAAGAATTAATGGTAAAAAAAGAAGAAAACAGAAATGAAATGAAATAATCGCGATAATACATTACCTTAATAATTCTGTTAGTTAGGTTTTTAAATCCAACATCAGCACTCGACAAAGTGCACGTGCGGACGTATCCCAACAAAATTGTTAACAAGATACACTGGGTTTGTTAATCGGGAGCGTTAATTCTCTCGACCATATACGTGTAACGCTTAATAGAATGTGTGAGATAGAATACAGATAACAGAAGTGTGCGTGCAATATTATATCGTGGAAGATCGAAGGCCAATTTTTGTAAGAAAAATTTATTAATCAACAATATTCGTATATATATATATTATATATATATGTATATAATAACAACAGTTTTTTCTTCTTTCTCGCATAACAAACCCATATATATATATATAGACGTTTCTACAAAAAACAAGGCCAAATATGTACATAACACGTTCTTCTTCTTTTTTTTACTCTGTTCACTTAACAGTCGTCTACAAGGTACTTAACGTATAACATTCCACAGAATGCCATATTTGTCCGGCAATATCTTGTCAACACTGGCACTTTAATCATAATCGTTCAGGCAACTTATCGCCAATAAGCTTTTCTATCGCTATTAAAAAAAATAAGCGTTAAAATCTCTACAGGCAGCTATCATCTGCGTGAAATTAGGCGCATTTTATATTAACCCGTAATAGAACCTGCATGAAAATAAAAAAGTATAATACAAAAAAAGATAGACATTTCTTTTATATATATATAAAAATGATTCAATTACATATTGGACAAATATTGTCCTATTAACAATGTAATTGTACATTAATTACATTATATTACAGTCAGGAGAAAATCCTGATATTAGACGCCATTCATTGCTTTGAAGCACCTTAAGCTTTTTTTTAAATAAATTTCTAAATCTATATTAAATTGAAGTGAAAAAAAAAATTATCATTATCAACGATAATTTTATAGCACGTTTTTATATTTATACTTGTGTATTCAATGTTCATTTTCATGTGAAGATATGGATATGAATTAACATGATGTTTTTTTGCTATGTATCAATTTGATTGATACAGTTTTTGAGGTCACATGTTTAACGGACAAACGTGCGAGTAGATGATGATGTTGCCAGACAAGCAAATAAGGACACCGAGAGCAATAAGGACGAGGTAGAATTGATACTTGATCGAGATTACGTTCAAATCTGGAGACGGCGCATCCGAGTCACTTACTTGCGTCATTTCGTCCCGTCGCTCTTGTTCCAGGATGTGACGTCGCGTGCGCAACTCGCGTTGTCGAGATTCGAGAGCTGCTATGGCATCTGCCCACTCTTTCCATTGGGCACCCCATTCACGTTCCAACTCACGCTGCGCTCCTTCCAATGCTTCTCTTCTTGCGGCCCATCTTTCTTCTCTTTCTTCCTGTTCTCTCTATATAGATTAATAGGAAAGACATTTTTGTAATATTTTCTTTTTTTTTAATCACATAATTTTTATAAAAAAAAATGATATTATGTTATACTTAATATTTTAATAATAATATGAAATATTCCGAGTTTTATTAGGATAAGAAATATCTTTAATCAATTAATCAATACAAACCTTAAAATCTTCTTTTTCCTTGATAAGAGCAGCTTTTTGCTGTTCCAGTTCTTCGAGCGCTCGCAGATCTTCGCTCGAATTTAAAAGGTTATCGCTAGAGGATGAAGCATGCAAATCCGAGACACTCCAACTCAAGAGGGACAATCTTGAAAGATTGACGACTGTGGATTGTAAGTTACCATTACCCGTTCCACCTTCCTTTCTTAGTTTCGCCGCTTCAGCTGGATCGTTATATCGAAACATATTGTTCCTCCCAAGAAGAATAATACAACCTTGTGATAGTCGTGTTGGTTTATCTACTTGAGCGGTGTTAATCCAGCAATGGAGAGAAAGGGGATGAAGGGTCGCCACGCCACTATCTAACTCTACCACGCAGTGTTCTGGTTCGACGTCCACACCAGTCAATACAATATCCTATTTATTAATAATACATTATGTTATAATTCATACATAGTTCTAATTGTTAATGATGTTCATGTTCAAAGAATTTTAATTTTTAGAAACGAGTATTGAATGATTACCTGCGTGGTTGGTGCTTCTTCTGTTCCTACTAATGTCTTGCCCTCTTTAAGATGATAAAGTGTAACACCAGTACTGAGGAGATCATCGTCAATTCCTACTAAATGTGGCATCTCTGAATCTAAGACTACACCAACGCCGCTTTTTCGAAGACCTAATGCTTTTTGTTCTTGAAGAATTTGTTGCGTTTCTCGCCACTTTTCCGTCCATTCTTCTGTCAATACTTTCTCCTGTTCTTGTTTTTCATGAATTTGAGCTAACAATACTTGTGGTGGTCTTTCAACACTCTGTAATAAACAGACAAAATTTTATTTTTATATAAAATTCTTTAATTACTACAAAAGAAAGTATATGAGTTTTAACACTTACCATATCTTTACCAATAAGGGATTTCAATTTTTGTATTTCTTCCCTGAGTTCCCTGATCAATTTTACATTTGGATCTTCATTTATAGTTGGTTTATTAATAATATTTTTCGCTCGATTAGCGTATCTGAGCGTACTGAGAGTCTCGCCATAATTACAATCGGCTGGACTAATAGCAGCTATCATAATTGTTTTAGAGTTACCACCAAGCGAATCCTTTAGCAACCATGTCAACACACTATCTCGATAAGGTATGAAGACATTACGCTTAGAGGAAGAAGACGCATCGCCTGTAGAACTGAGTTCCGCAAGCGCCGATATCACAGAACCTAAAGTTACCAGTGACTTATTGATATGCGCACCTTCTTTTAGTCGTTGGCCTGTCGCACCTGTAGCATTTGCACGTTCGCTAAACAAACAAATATAAAATTATATTTGTATTATTTACATTATATTTTTTAATTTTCTCACAAATGTGAACAAAAGATTCTGCATCTATATATCAATATTTTCTTGGATGGTCATATAATACATTCAAAAAAGGCTATCTTAATCTATCCATTTAACTATCCATCTAATTCATCTACTTTCATCTTAATATTTTTGATATTACATTACTTTTTTTAATCCTTATTTATTTACTAAATTTTAATAATAAAAATGAGAGAGAGAAAGAGAGAGAGAGATATATATATTAAATAATGCAATATTCTTTTACGTGTTTCTTTGACGATTTAAAATAAAAAATATTCTCAAAGTATTCCTTTCAACTACCTTCCAGCCAAGTCGACAAGATGCACCTTGGAAACAGTTTCCGATGGCATGTTACCCTCGGATAGTCCAGCTTGCACGAATGTAATTGTGAAAATCGCGTGACTCCTACTGCTCACGTCGTTCATGTTTGTGCTTGCTGTAGTTCTGTGCGTATTACCTCTCACCATGCATTCCTACAGACAGAGAGCAACTCTTTATTTAAAAACTATCTCTCTCAGGAGTATCGTAGTGGAACGAATAGGAAGTGGGTTCATTTACCTGAATGTCTGAATAATCATATACGAGGTGGCTTGACAGGTCTTGGACATAAGGTCCTCTTTTAGGATGTTCCCGCACTCTGAGAGAATGAGACTGTGACTGATCCAGTCTTAGCAAATCCCTTACTCTTTCATTGTGTATTTCCAGGAAAGATACCTCGGTTCTATACGATGCTCCACTCTCTTTACCAGCAGCCATTCTAGCAAATAGTGTCTTACAAATCCGCGGTATCAATCCTTGAGCTTCCTAAGATTTAAACATAATAAAAAATTATTAGAAGTAAAAAATAGAATTATTTGTGTTATAATAAATTATTGTTATATAATAAGATTATATTTTGAGTTAAAGAAAAATTATAGAAATCAGGTGAAAGTTTAGGCAAACGTTTTGCAATAAAGTAATAATTTCTGTACTGATGAAAAGTGAATTGCGATTTAGAAGCATTAGAGCGTATTAATATGTTAACATGTTAATTGAATCCGTAGGATTTTTCTTTTATAGATAAAATTTATGGAAAAATATATTCAAAATATTTAAAATAATGAGGGAATTTAAATTTAAGAATAATTTTGAAAATATAGAAATAAAATTTATTTTATTGTAATAAACTTTTATAAATAGCAATTAAAAAAAATTTTTAACAGGATTTTTTGTAACATAATAAGAATAAAATTATCGTTATAACAAACAAAATAAGAATATTACCGGTGTGCCCATCATAGTAAAGGTCTTCCCAGACCCTGTTTGGCCGTAAGCAAAGACGCAGGCATTATAACCTTCGAAGGCACTTTCTATTACGTCCGTACCAAGATCATAGAAAACCTAAAATAAAAAAAAGGATCAGCATTTTATTTTAACATGGCAAAATTAGTAGCCATCATCGTTCATTGTATATAAAAAAAGATATTTCTTATCATGTTAACTTTAGTATCAAACACGTTTAAAACATATACATAATTACATTTCTTGATTGATGCAATTATGATGCTGATTTATTTACAAAAATTTTAATGAATTATAAATTAAATAAATAAAAATGATTGATCAATTGATTATACATAATTAATTAATAAAGACAGATATTTTATATTTTACATATTATATAATTACTTACAAATACAATGATAATTAAAATTTATCTTATTTGATAATTAAAAAATTATGATTATATATGTGTACATACCATATTAAAGTTTTCAAAAATTTTTAATTAAAATTTGTTCTTACGACAATGAGTACTATATCGGTATACACATGCCGTCTTCTATTTTAATTCTAATTGTAGCTCATCATCAAAGCATTGCCAAATACGATTTTGTAAATCAATTAATCGTAACAATGTTCTATTTCTTGATTTATCAATGTATGATTCAATCTATTTCTTTTTATTTTATTGTTAATTGATAGATTCATGAGAAATTCATAAAAATAAAATAATATACACCTCTTCCTGGGATGCATAGTTATCGTCGTTCGTATCAAAGGACCAATAGGAATGATCGAATGTGAAATCTTTATATTTCTCCCTGTCGATTTCTCTGCAACTACCCGGTGTCTGGAAATAATAATACATAAATATAATTTTTTTAACTATATAAAAAAATTATATATATATATATATATATATAATAAAAACAAATATAATAAAAAATATAATAAAAACAATGAAATAAGAAAATTATTATATTTTATTTTAAAATTATTTTATCAATTGAATGTACATCATCAAATAAATTTCTTTTATAATTAAATAATTTAATATCATATAATATAATCATATAAATTATTATTGATTAATTATTAAAAAAAGAATCATGAAAAAGATGAGATAGGTCAAAAGCCGATAAGATGACTATTGTCATTGACATTATTCACAAATGGCTGGCAAACAGTAAGCCGTTATGTCATATGCATTCGTTAGGTTGCATCCCATATAACCAATCGTATATCTATCAAGAACCACTTCATATATTATGCAACACAAAGCTGAATAGAAATAATAGATAATTAAAAAGTAAGATTTCTTATATTTACCCATCATGCAATTGGTATATGCAGAGTTAAGGTGAAGATCATTATCATTCGAATAAATGTGAACGCGTTTAATTTAAAGTAAGAAATTTAAGATTCGTCCTTGGGAAAAAGTTTGAGTCATCAAATTTATTGCCGAGATCATCAATTCCAAAGAATTCAATCTTCTTTGTTCCAATATCGAAGAAAAAATAAAGTTATTGTTATAAAAAAAGATTTATTTTTCTGGAAATGTGTTTATTTACGAAATAAACATTAATGATATTTTGCGTGCATAGAATATATCATGATGTCCATATCGGATATTCATTTCAGTTAGATTTCTATAAATCTGTTTTATTAGATTAATAAAACAAAACATTTAATTTATTATTATATGAGATAAAGATAAATTATAGTTATGAATTATGTAAAAACTATTTTCTTTAATCGTAAAATATATAATTGATTATTATGAAAAAATAAAGATTGAAATATTAAATTATGTTAATTTTTAATATTAAGTCACTCGAGAAATGCAAAAAGTGATCAAAGACTTGAAAAATGAAACATAAGAAATGAATAATGTAAAAATTTTTATTAATATTACAAACTATGCTGAATCTTTAATAAAGACATATAATTGACTTTAATAATTTGTATATTATTTAAACAAAATTGATAAAATTTTATCTGATGTATGAAACATATTAATCGCAATATAATTGGTTAGTTTTGTATTTAGTGTTGTGCGACCGAAAGTAACTTATCCGGGATTGGTCCACCGATAATTTTCGCACTTTCTCCGATCAGATGACATGCTGTTCTCGTTCACTATTTTGATCAAAGATTTTACTTGACAGAAATGGATATCGATGATATAATATTAGAAAACAAATATTTTTAAAATGGTAAAGAAGATTGTGTATATATATGAATAATATACTCACATCGCGGTCATTGTGACGTTAATAGGTCAATAGCCGAGGTTCGTTCGACCAGAAATTATGACACGATTCGAGCTCCGAAGCGTTTTAACGGCGTGACGGTCAACGGTAATTCGAGACGAAAAAAAAATCATTCTACAGTTTGGAAATCTTTTTGGAAAAATGATTCGCAATCATTAGGGATGAATTGTACAAAAATTAATAGGAATTGTTTGTTGCGGATAATATTGTTGCGATAATACCCAAAAATTATACAAAGAAATCATTTAACCTTAATAAGTAATAATAACAATATTTTTCTTTACATTGTAAAAAAATAAATTTTAAAATATTATTGAAATACCTTGGTATTGAAAATTCGTGTTTTCTTGCCATCCATTTGTACGATCATCTTTGCATTCATTGCCAGCTCCCTGAAATATAAATTTGACAAATTCACATCCCTAGTCATGAAACTGAACACTTCAAAATTTCACGAATCGTAAACACTAGAAAAAAAATAATCGAAGTGATAAAAAAAATTCGCGATAGCATAAAATGTAAAACGAATGACAGCAGGTGGCAGAATCTCATCCAGTCATCAGTCGCACTATGGATCGATCGAAACCATATGATTGATCGTCTCATAGAATGAATTATAGTCGAAGGTCGAAAGTTCACGAATTATATCAAAAATATTTTTCAGAACATTGTCATGTAAATCATGTAGCAGACCTTGAATAGTTCAATCAATTTCAAAAACTACGATCGGAAAACAAATTTATGATAAACAAAAAATATTCGCGTCGCAAAACATTGATAACTTATCACAGCTTATCACTAGTTGCATAGCACGCACCTTTTGTTAAAGGGACGAACTCTCACGGCTACCTTCACTGAAGCCATGGCTAAATGGAACGCATGGATTTTGAGTTGAGAGATGTTATACCGTATTTTTTCACTTTTGTTTCGTTTTTAAACTCGCGTTACGCGAACACGAAGTTTCTCACAATGCTACGTAGACAACACATCGTTGACGGGCCTCGCCGTGCTACGAAATGTCGTCGTCGTCGACCCTCACGCACGACGAACAACATCATCCTCAACACGCTCTCGACAGACGGACGACTGCTGGCAAGTCTCTGTTCGAGGCAAAAAATTGCGTTTCTGCGCATGCGCATACACGCGCGGATCCCTAATTTCAAGTGATCTGCACATTTGCTCGTTCTTCGTAACAATGCATAGAAAACAGCAAAATACTGCAGTAAGAAAATAAGAACATAAATAGAAGACAAAAATAGAATAAAATAATAAAAAAAAAAAAAAAATATAAAATGAATCGATTACAAAATTGCAGAAAAAGAAAGGGAGACGGTCAAACAGGTTTTATATTCCCCTTCTACTATGTATGTGACGTCATCATAAGATCGGTATAGTAGACACTGGAGAGTGAACGGAGAAGGCAAGCCACCCACGCAGCAAACCAAGAAAATTAAATCAAACACTTTGCGGTTTCTCTAAGTACGTAACGGCGGTTGTATGAAGAATTCATGTCGTTTTGTTATCCAGCTGGAGATTACGCATCATTGATGAACCCGGATCCAGGACAAGAATAAGATACCATGGATACGTGCTCGTAATCGTAAATAGAAAATATGTTATAGGCGGCGCTATACTCGTCGAAGTAATAATACATACATATATATATTAGTACTAACATTAAATCTCTAGATGCATTTATATATTGTAGGTCAACGGACCTTTCGAAACTTTGGCACAACCTCGTAAAAAGAAAAAGTCTTTGATACATGCGTGTTATATTTCCAAGAGAGTGAAAGAATATTCATCGCGTGTTGACCTATAGTGTCGATTTAACTACCTGTCTGAAAACGGGTCCGGCAACTCTCTCACAAGGCGTAATTTGTCTCGCGCAGAATCACCGATCTGCGACCGCTGGCAATATAAACAAAGTTTCCACTCCCACTCTTGTCGATTTATTCATCTACCATTTTAAATTCAGAGCCTGTTGCTTTTTCAAATATATAGGAAATCATTGATACTTTTTAGTAAACACGCATAAACAAATACTATTATTCATTATTAATGTTTCTATAAATAAATTTTATTCTCAATTATATATCGTTCATATATATTTACATATGTTTTTTGTAAATAAATATTATTTGTAATATTCTTTCAATTAAACATATTTATAAGATTTTTGAAATTATAAATAAATTAAATATTAAAAATAGAAGTCTTTTAAATAAGTTCAAAGTATTCAAGATCATATTCATATTAATGAAGAAGAATAATCGAATTCTATTGCGATAATTATAAAACCGGCATTTAATATCAGGGAATACAACCTGATCATAAAATGAAAGCCTTGAAAAGTTATATGATATGTTCTGTGCATAATGATTCATAGTCGATTGGACTGACGTAACTCTATGCTACGGGATTGCTGACTGCTACAAAAAAACGTGTCGATCCTCTGATTCTGTTTAGGCAAGACACTTCCCGTAGAGCCAAATACGGCAATGCACGGTCATTACTTGTCCATTTTTGCAGTTTCATATTATTATTCAAAGTGTCTGATCATACTTAAGAATGATGAAAAATGTATGTAGATAACTTAAAAACGATACGATGGAAAATTTACCGTTATTTTATACATCGCAAGAGTAATAAATAAAAATCTTTTATCACTACAGAAATGACGTTTAAAAGCATTCTAAGTTGTTATTTAATGATGTATTCATATGTTTAATTCGATTATTAAATCAAAATTTACTGAAATCTCCTATATCAATTTTAGAGCATTGAATGAACTCATTCGATGTTATTTATTAATATATTTTTAGAATCTATATTAATCATAAACTTTTGCATAAACTTTATTTTAATTTAAGAAAAACCATATTGCGATCCATATAATTTACACCAGTAATTAAAATATTTATGAATAGTAAATTATAAAATGATTTATAATATTTATTATTATTTAATTAGTAAATTTAGATCATTATTTTCACAATTTTCCATTTCTATAATTTTTATTAAATTAATTTTTATATTTCTTATGTCAGATCAATTTAAAGTTTTAGCAAGTGCTGCCACATAGTTTTCTTATGAACTAATAACTGCAGTACGGTCGATAATGCAGAAAAAAATATTCGATCGTTAAAGTAGAATAGAAGGGGAAGCTTGTAACACAAGGATGGTGGCGCAACGAGTCAGGGTTAGTTCATTTGAAAAGCGAAGCCAAGACCTAACATCAGTCGGGTGGCAACTGTCGAGCATGTGCGTGGTTCCTCGTGCTTGTTTAGTCGTGTCTTAAATCGCACATAGAACACAATTGCATGTACATCCTAGTATGTGAACAAACGACAGACAGTTCGCGAACATGTGATTTTGACAGAAAACACAATTCGTCAACGCTCGTTATTACGTGCGTGAAAAGTGAAGTTTTTTCTGCCCGGATATATCGTTACCCTGCAACAGCCTCATTCGAGGGGGTGGAGAATAATGTTCTGAGTCGTGAGCCACGCACATCATGGTTGCTAAGCACTTCACGCAGGGTAAGTTTTCATTTAGTTTTACTTTGCTGATGTTTCGTTTTTCTCACATAACTACATTTCCACGAATTTTCATCGATTTGATAAAATACAATAATACGTTTAAAAATCGTTGCATAGAGATGAAAATATATATTCATAATGTCCATGATACATCAATGCGATGCACAGTGGGTGGTGCAATTCTATGATCGTAATAATAATAATAGAAATAATGGTATAGAACTAGCAAGAGACGAGTTGAATTGTTTCGTCTCTATTATTATGATACTTTCATAGTTCGTGATAAAGTTCAGTGACATTGCGTAAAAATATTTGAATATCGTCACGTTCTTTTCTTTTTTTAACGATTATTCGAAAAATATTATTCGAATAGAGGAAGGAAAGAAAGAAAAACATTAAATTTTTATTTTTAAAAAATAAAATTTTTGATAGAAAAACTCTATATATAAAAATATATGATAGAATATAATTATATGTGAACTTATAATTTAATTATGTTTTTAAATAAGCCTGGATGGAATAGTATTGACCGATTATTCTGAAGGATAAGCTAAAACTTATATGAGTCCGATGTCAAATTTGTGATAGTTTTTAAATTGTTTGTTCGATGTCTTATCGATCGACATTTAGCAATTTTATTTATGTATACGTTTTAAATATGTATATTTTTCTACATGAAATCAAGGAGATGAAAACAAAGAGAATAGGTCGAATCCAAAATTTCAATCGCAAAATTCTTGATCATATCTATTTAAGATACAATTGTATAACTTTTTTTTTTAATTTTTACAATATAATTTTTACAATATAACTGCATTTATTTAATAGTTTTTATTTTATAGAAAAAATTTTTTTCATGAATAATAAATACTTTTCAGAATTAATAATCTATTTGTATATATTCTATGGAGCTTTTAATTTGCAATGCGACATCTGATGGTTTTTTGTCATGCAATCTTTAACATTATTGCGGATTATCACTTCGTTCGCACGATAGATGTAAATGTCAGTAATAATTTTTTACGAAAATTTAACCAATAAAGAAAGTATTTTATGATTTGCGATGATTTCCACTCTGAATCCGTCAACCTTTCCTTTTTCTATATATATCCGCAGTGCAGTGATACGTCCAGGGATTTCCTTCTTCTGCTTCGTTTCTTTTCAATTCTTCTCTCATACAAGTCAATAAAAAGTGTATTTTTTGTATTTTTAAATGAACTTTTTTATTCCGCTACTTACGTTACTTCCGTTATTTTATTCAATTTTAAAATTGATTGTAAATATCATTTAATTATTTCTTTCATTTGCCTATATATATTTTAATTTTTAATTCTAATTTACTAGCTCTTGGAAGTAAGTTTTCTTGTATTAAAGTAAATATTCTTGTCAACTACTAAAGACAAAAAACTTCAAATTTTGAGAGTAATTAATTTGAGAGATGATAATTTAATTTAATTTGAGAGAATAATAATTTGAGATATAATTTTGATATAGATATAATTTTGTATACATACATATATATATTTTCGTTAAAAAGAAAAATCACAAAGATTGTTGAATATATAAAATATTTCACATAAAAACTTTCTTTTTTTTTTAATATATCTATTTCTATACCAAGTAGGAAATACAATCTTTTTGTTCGTATATAATCAGTATTTATGACATTTAATGTATACAATGTAAGTATATATTAACAGCAACTTGAGTTATCATCTCGTAGTATGATAAAACCACTTACGTTACAAATGTATGTGCGATCACATATTTTGAACTGGAATACAATACATTGCATTCAATGATTTGGAACTGTGGAAAATTAATATTATGTTATTTGTAAATCTTGTATATTTTAAGAATTATGAAAATTTTCATTTCTGTTATTATATATTGGCGAAAATTTTGAAAATTAAAATATTTTGAATTGATTTGTATGTTTATATAATAAACAGAAAAGAAATTCTTTTTATAGGCGAGTATATAAATTTTTTTAATAATTTTGAATCTTTTCAAAAAATGAAAAGAAATAAATAATAAAATTTAAATTTTTTTAATTTATTTAAAATAAATTGAATGATTAATTGGATAATGGTATTTATTTTATATAACACATTTTTATTAAAATACTCGTTTAAAATATATTCTACTAAAATATCTAAAATACGAGAATTTATATTTCTTATTTCAAAAATAAAATAATTTGGTTAAATTTTTTCAATTCATTCGTTTAAATTCAATTTATTAACAATGTATAAATATACGTAATTAATTTCTTAATTGATATGAAACTGTTGATTATAATTCCCTAGATAGTTACAATATGTTTCTAAGAAGCAAACTTCACGTTAATCATTCGATATTTCGATTGAATCTAAGCATTCGATAGTTTCGATCTATGATGAAATGTAAAGATCAGTGAAATTATCAAAATATTTCTAACTGATTTTCCAAAAGTTTCTATCATTACAAATCTAACTAATATAAGTCATAATAATAACTCAAAATATATATACATGGTGAAATTCAATTTCAAGTTATAGTTCACATATCTGAGAATTTTTCTATGGTGTACGCAACAGACATCTCGAAAGAGTGAGTCACAACAGCATCCTGGTAAAAGCAGGTTTCTTCGGAATTTCGTGCTCATAGAATGAATCATTGAATGTAAATATTGAAATATATATTATCATTTAAAATTATGAAATCACATTTCTTGAGGATATATTGATATTTATGATCAAAACATAACCTATTTGTTAAATGTTTTGAATTTAAATACAATTGTTTTTTGTGAAGTTAGATTATAGAATTCAGTATTACGTTTTTTATCTTGATTAACTCGATTTTCAAAACAATTGAAATTTCCATATACATAATAATCGATATGTGTGAAAACAACTCTATATAGAAACGAATAATTTATATATTCGGTAATACTTCGTACGCTTTTCGGGTAAATTAATACGTTGGTGTTCTGTATATGATAATGTGGCGAGTTAATTATTTCCTCCCGTTGTTACGTGTCGTCGACCTCCCTGAGAAACTCTTCGGGACTGCACTGTCGTTGGATCGTTGCACGAAAGCTTCGTCCTCGATCGACAGCATGAAGTTTCTTGAAGGTGACGCACCGTAAAAGGGAGACACGCAGCAAGAAGGACAAGTGAAGAAACAAAAAGGAACAGAAAATTAAATAAATTTATTTCTTACAGAGAAAGATAAATATGTGATGAAGAGAATTGAAATTTGAGAAACAAGTAAGTTCGGTGGTTTTTAATTGAACATGAAAAGAATGTATTTTATAAAGAATCATTAAAATCGTCTTATATCTCTGAATAATAATGTTGAATAATTTTTCAATGAATGAAATTTCGATTTCCTATTTTTTTTATATTAAATTTTTATATAAAGTTATAGGTTAGAAATTTGTGTATAGTTTTATTGATAAAAAATTGATAAAAAAATATAATTATATATAATATAATTATATGAAATATGATATATTTTAGGATTCATAGAACAAAAACAAAAAAATTCCTTTTAGATTATTTTTTTAAATATACATATATTCATCTAGGGATTTTTTTATAATTTCGTAATTAGAAAAATAGAATGAGAAGTCAAATTTAAAAGAAAATATATTCGATATTTTAGTTCGAAATCTGTTATGCATGATATCTCATAATTTGAATTTGAATTTTATTATTTTTTTCATTTATGACTTTTATTGAAATCTGACAATGAATCATCTAATGAAATATCTTCAAATCTAAAAATAATAATAATAATAAGCATTTACAAAGATAAATAAAAGATTTTTTTTAGATTAATGATATATAAATATATTTTTGACAAATTATAATATGAAATTTGCGTCAATCATAAAATATGTGAAAAAAAAATTCATCCATCTTTGCACCTATTCCTTTCGAGATTTTATCTCGGCTTCGCGCATTTCCTATAAATATTGTAGGATCTTTGTCAATTTGGAAATGGATGGAAGATCCATTGATATGAAATCATTGATAAAATATTTCAAGTATGATAAAGAATATACAGAAAACAAGAAAAGGACGATCCATTTCGTGTAAAGAAACGAGATAAACATTAGTCGGAATATTATTTATAATCTAGGGAAATTTAATACGTTGCAATGATCTTCAAATTCGTTCACCAAATCAAATAATAATCTTTTCTTGCAAAGTTTAATCTTGGAAATTATATCTACCGTATTATAACTAAGATTAAATCTAAAGAAATAGGTATATATACATATACAATATGTATCTTGCAGATTCATTTTCCATTTAATATATCAAAATTATATCTTTTTTATTTTTCAATAATGAAATTAACATTTTTATTTAAGATTAAAGCGTTAAATTATATATTTTTTTAAATATTCTCATGATAGATGATATTAATTCAAAAAGAAAAAATCTGATTTCATCTGATTGGATTGGAACATCATCTGTAATCATTGTGGCAAACCACGTGCTCGCGGTACGCAGGTGCTATAGCAGCAGCACCAGCAGCAGCAGCAGTGCACATACACCTGCGAAATACGTTACACCTGCATGTCAGCTGCTGTGATCCTATTTCTCCAAGGTCGTATGTCACGTGACTCCTCGAGGACCGCCTTGCTAACTACTATCGCGAAATTTAATATTTCATCTTGCAGACTTGGCCAACAATTTCTTTGACAATTTTTTCTGCTCGCCATTTAAGCAACATTATGGCACCATTTCCGGAAGAATTTTTTTCTCTATTTAATTATTCATAATTAATTTTTAAACTTATAAACTTTGAAACAAAGAATCTATAGTAAATTATATACCACTTTCATATTTTAACCTTTTTAATTTTCAGAGATGTTAGAGATTATACAATATAATGGCTCGGCCAGAAATAACCAACAACAGATCTATCTAATATTAATTATTATTTATCGCCAAATTGATTGGATTAATAATCTAACCATAAAATCGCAACTGTTAAAAAAGATTAAAGACAAATTTTACAGCGAACGAATATATAATTGTAATCGAATATCATTTCAAAGATTAATTCTTCATCACTAAACTGTTGATAAACCGCAATTGGAATACAAACAAGAAAAAAATCGCGTATGTGATGGTGAGGTACAAAGGATTGATTAATGAACCGGAGAAAAAAAACAAACCGCAATTACATCAGAGATGTTTGGGGTAGGCGCCATTTACGTGATACTACTACACCCGGCTCGTCATCGCGAGAGCATGTTAATTAAATCGAGATTGTAATCGAGCAGCTGGAATCTTTCCTCGAAACTTTGTAACACTGATTCCATTGAATTCTTCGTGAATTATAAGGTGAAATATGCGTGTTATTTATGCGTTTTATTAATAGATTTGGAATTAAGATTTTTTTAAATAAAATTGCGGTAAAAGTTGTATTAGTTTTACTTTAATATTTAAATTGAACAGTTTTAAAAAAAATTTTGTTTTAATTTTATAAGCAATTTTATAATATTTATAATATTCATTATATAAATTATATAATGTATAGATCATCGATATCATGGAATTTAATTTTTGATGAAATGATGATTTTCAGAGTGATGATTTATAGAGTAACATTTATTGATTACTGCGATATTATTTCATATTATGAAATGATAGGATAAAGAACGAAATTTCGTTACATATAGTTCGATGTTTGATTCGATGCTAGTGGCTTTCTATTAACACCTCAATCACATTGAAAATTGACCACCAGAGGTGACAAGGAATCGTCATGTACAATATTGTCCATGCTTGAACAACAGGTGGTCAGAGAATTTACCAGGTTTCCATATCGCGTTCCTTTTAAGCGAACGAGATCAATGTTAAGTGTTCATCGCAGAGCTCGAGTGACCAACAACTCGAGTGAAAAAGCTAAAAGAAATGAATAGAAGGACATGGTATTCTCAATTTATTTCTAATTACTAAAGAGGCAAAGATAAAAAATAAATAAATTCAAAAGAGATAAACATGTATTATAAAAAAGTTCGTTGAGATAATTCAATTATTTTACAAAAGATACAGTTTATAATAAAAATGTAATAGTTTTTTCTTACAAGTCTTTTTTCTTGTTTCAGGCTCGAGCCCTGAGTTGGGTGTCCCGGATATGACAGTCATCAGCGATATCGACGAAACGGGAATCAATCGAAACCTTCAAGTTCGATATGGAAGGGATCAAATATATGTATCCTTTGATCAAGCTTTAATTAATTAAAATTGTCTTATATCCATAAGGTAAGGTTATCAAAGAAATTTGTATGAATCCCTTAATGAAAAATCTTAATTGATCTTTTATTTATTTTTATTCTGAATATATTTTATATTATATTTTTTTCATGTATATCTAATTATATTTATTTGTTTGATTCTTTTAATATAGAGATTTGTTAAATGAGTTTGTGGTACGAATTACTACTTTTTTGTGACATCAAGGCAGATGTTAAAATAGAGATTGATTCACGAACGATTACAAAATTCATCATGTGGAATTCATAGTCTGCTAAACATATTAGAGCACGTGTGAACCGCCTTGTTTCATTCGTCCAGAAGTTTAGCAAAAAACAGTGAACGGACGTCCGTTCATTTCGTAATTCGTCGTTAGTGCACTCTGAAGTTAGAATTCTTCGCACATTCCTACGAATAACTCGAATTCACATTGTGCTTTTTCCTCCATTATTGTTGTTGTTATATATTAGGATTTCACATTGAAATTCTTATTCTTCAATTTTCAATTTTTAATGAAAACATTATTGAAAATTAAATAAGGAGAAAATTAAATAAACAAGGAATCATTAAAAAATAATAGATACGAAATTTCGAGAAGTATATAAATTTTATGAAATAATATACTTAAGAAACTTGAGTTAAATAATAACTTATTGGAATTGGTAAGATTTTGATAAATTTAATTTTGATTCAGAGAATTAAGAGAATTGAACGAATATCATTACGTAAAAGTATAAGCATTACGTACAACTATTGTGTATCTGATATTTAAAATAAGATATTTTTCAAAACACGACGAAAAAATCCATCAGTGTTCAAAGTTTCGATAAAATCAGTGACCCGAACTTTTCTGCGTAAATACAAGTATCTGATCTATAATTTTTATTAATAGAATGATGAAATCCACCAATGTTAAAAGTTTCAATGAAATCTGATGAAATGGAAAAATCTTATATCGTAAATATCCATTTGACCTTATAGAGAGTATTTTTCTAACCAAAAGTGGTGGAATATAATGCAATATTTTCTAAATATTCGATATCTAATATTACTTACCAATCATTTGTACTATTTTTCTAAACAAAAGGAGAAAGAGACGTTGATCAAGATTAAGACGATCAAATAACTGCCTCAAAGATCTTGCATTTCCTCTCATGAGTGCAATGAAGAGTATGAACTAGAGAGAAGAGACGCGAAAAATAATGAAGAATGATAGAGAGAACGAAAGGGGTTGAAGAAGGGTGAAGAAGTTAAAGAAGTGAACTATATGTATGAATTTTGTAGGGGTGGGGCGTTGCTCCCGGGTTGGTTGGTTGGTTGCCATGACAACAACCCTAGTCAGCTGGTGAACCACCCCAGGGCCAGACCCATTCATCCTCTTGGCTTCACCGACCCAACGACCGACACCGACACGACCCACTGTCGTTTCTTGTCATGCTTTAATTCGCACCCTTCTTCCTATCCCTCTCGGTTCATCCCTATGTCTGCGATCCATGGATGTGGAGAGAGCGACAAGACGGCCAAATGATCATCCGTACTTTCTATTGTGGTTCAATATTCATAGGATCCGGTATACATATAATATCGTCTGGTCTTGAGCAGATATCGAGAAAAGTCTGAGGGTCTGAGGGTAAAAAATCCACAACTTTTTTGTTAAATATCGACCTCTTAATTGGATTAGTTTTCCTCTTAATTGGTTTATCTGAGAAAAATAGCTAATTCCTTAGACTGAAAATATCTATTGTATCCCTGAAAATATCGGAGAAGTTTTGGTTTGAGTGGTAAAGTTAGTTTAGTAATAGTTTTGGGGTCTAGTTAGTTTTCTTTGTTACCAGGCTTCCTTTCTTTTTTACAATGAATAGTTATTCATTGTAATAGTTGTAATATTGTAATATTCATTGAATAGTTATTCAGCTTTTTTTTTTTTGTATCTTTTACACCAATTATTTTTTCTTCAATATCTAGGCACAAAACAATGAATTTTTCTCCTTAAAGAAAAAATTCTTCTATAGAAAAAAATAATACAGAAAAATATGTATCATATAATATCTTTATATTTTATGTTTTTAAACACGAATAGATTATGATTAAGTCATTAACGAAACCAGAACAGTTTTAATCAATTGCGTAATTTTTGTTCATCTCAGTTCGGTATAGATCAAACACCGGAATTCAAACGCGTGATGCGTTCGCCTCGACGATTTAGGTCGTAGTAGCACTTGTTAGTGGACATTTCCTCGTGTGTCACGATGTCGATCGTTGCCGGTTTCGCCATGTGTAGGACGAAATGTATCGTTGTAAAACAGATCGCCCACAAGATCATGGATCACCGAGCCACGTTCAAGGAAACGTTCTTTGTTTCCTTATTCGCAATAATTGACATTTGATGGATTTAATTTTATCGTTTTTCGCATTAAGAATTTAGAAGAGGTTGTTGAACTTTTGATAGATTTGAATTGGCAGCAGGGGTTTAATTTTGATAAATATAGGTGAATTAAATATTCTAAACTCATTATATGTGTTTTTAATGAAAATTAATGAAAATTCATTTTTTCATTCTCGGTTAATAATTTTTCTTAGCGTTGAATTGCATTTAATCAGCGAATGCGTAAGGCTCAAATAGCTTCAGTATGTAGTCACAGATCGTTCCAGCCTCTGCAGGAAGTTTAATTATCGGTTGATTGCAGCAAACGAATAAAACCGTGTATTCAATGACCAAACATCGTGAACATACCACGTATCAATCAATCCATGTGTAATTAGTATAAGTAACTAACCGCATCCTGCAATTTCCACCATCGATTCCAAACAATCCATCGTCGAACAATTTCAATAGAAATAAAAAAAAATCGATATCCCAATACACGACGATTCAAATTTTTTTTAATATCTTTAATAATTTATATCGAAATGCTTTCAGATATAACTGATACAACTGATTGATTAAATCATGTCTGAATTTATTATGTACACAATTGTATCGATTTAGCTCGTGCATTACATAAAGTAAATCGAATCTCGCAAAATATACATTGTCGTTCTCATTAATATTTAAGCAAATATCAATAATACCTTCTATCGATTAAATAATACATAATAATCTGAATCAAAATATGGAATATTATCTTTTCTTAGAAGTTGTTTAACATTTAAATATTTATTCAGTTCTCTGAAACATATAGAATCTCTTCATTCAGAAAAGAGAATAGATTATTTTGTATCTTACTCGTAAAAATGATATGAATTATGATAAAAATAAAAGTATGCTCGTATATATTTTCCACATATATGTATGTGTACACGTAACTCCTCGAATTCTTTCTATATATATCTATATATATCTTTCTATATCGTTACACATCAAAACTTTTTCTATGCTATCAAGAATCGTCTGGTTAATAGAACTATCCCGGTGTCTATCGCGATTCCTCCCAAAGGAGGTTCGATAGATCGTCGGTTGATTAAATGGCTGCACTGTTGTTCGTCTTTGCGAGCTCCCGTTTCGATCGCGAGATAACATGAAACGGCACAGATAAAGTACAGTAGCCTCCACGGTGGTGAATACACGGGAAATAAATTCGGTCGGAGGTCAAAGGTTACGTTGTTCGTATATTGGAACGAGCGAATCGACAAATTTATTCCAGATTACGAAATTCAATTTTCGAAAATTTAATCAGATCTTCGTGAAAAAAAAAAGACAAACTACAATTGTGAGGTTTCACGTTAAACGTGTTACTCTTTGTCTTCATAGCGAGATTTTTACATTTTTTTGGCTTACATAACATGTTTTTAAAGATTTTACAATTTTCTCCATTAAATAAATAGGACAATCGGAAAAAAGCAATGTGTAATTGAATAACACTAGTTATTTAAATAATCATTGTCGTAAATACACGTTTTACAAGAGTCGTGAATAGAATGAACTCGTGCTCCGTCAATCAAAATTTCCACTTACAAAGGGATAAAAAATAAAAAAAAAAAAGGGAAGACTAATCATCTCGTGAGACGAGAGCAAAATTATATCATCGTTTCTCAATTATCTCGTTTGATCAGGGACGATCAAACGACGAATATAATAAATTCCATTTAAACGAATCTCTCTCTCTCTTTCTCTCTCGCCTCCATTACGGAAAGGTTTGCACCGGGCACGGTTGATCGAATCTCGTTAAAGTACCACGGGAACGGGAGTAATTACTTCGAAACCGGTACAGTTTTACCAGCCGTGGAACTCCTCTCTTCTGTCGCGGTTAATTTCGTTAGGAAAATTGAAAGTTTCGAGGCGAGCCATAGCCGTGTTTGCGGGGCCGCCTATCTCGTCGCGGTGGAAAACATCGATGGCATACAAATAAGAGGCTCGCGAGGATATCCATGACGATGCGTGACACTTCTTTATAATCTCTTTGTACTTTGCACTTCGGTTCGGAATTTTACGAAATAATTCTGGAAAAAAAGTGAATGAATGAATGAATGGAAATGAGAGAAGAGATCTCGATTAATTTTAAGTAAGTAGGGATGTGGAATGAAAATTTGAAACGAGCGAACGATCGATCGATTCAAATTGAGAAAGAATAAGAAGACTTGCTTTCAAAAAATAATGGACGAATCTTCTTCCATAGTTGGAAAAAAAATTTTTCGAACACATTCAGAATTAAAACATGGTGATCTCAGGGTAGACGAGATTACGAGGAAAAGAGAGAAAGAGATGAACGATGCTCGATCGGATAACCGGTGTTGCACCAGGGTGGCGAGGAGGATCTTCAGCTTCCGGTTTCGACGTTGTCGCCGGGGCTAGGGTTAATCCGATATCCCGAAAGAGAAGCGACCTCGTGAAAAAAAAGAGGAGAGAAGGCGTTTGAGTATCTCGTATGAGAGGTGGATAATGGGTGGCCGATGAAACGTAGACGGTGAGGAAACGAAGAGTTGAAGAGTCTTATCCCTTTTCTTCTTTCTTTCTTTTTT